ACACACACACACACACACACACACACACACACAAAGAAAAAGAAAACCAAGCACTCAAAAAACTATCATATTCAGAAAAAGCATTTAACAGTCTAGAACCTTCAGAAAGAGGTTCAAAATTGGGCAGGGGTTCTACATGCCTCAGCTACTTGAGAGATTGAGGAATAGGATCTCAAGTTGGAGATCAGCCTGGTCAAAATAAAAAGTATTTTAAAAGGTCTAGGAATGTACTCAGAGAAGAGTGCTTGCCTGGCATATGTGAGGCCCTGGTTCAATCCCCAGGAAAGAGGCAGGCAGGCAATTAGTCAGAATCAAGTCTAAAGGAACTTCACAGTAATTTCTGCAAAGGCACACAACTTCATAGAGTTCGTTCATCAAGTCAAAACCAAGAAACGCTAAAACATGTGACAAATTCAAATCCCTCTCATCCAAATGAAGGTTGCCAGAGTCTAAACTCAATTTCTTTCACTTCCTAGAAGCTAGGATCATTCAGCAAATAGTGAATGAAAATAATTTTTTAGCTAGCTCTCTCCATCACATACTAGATTCAATGGGCTCTCCCTTTGAAGAGTTACTTCTTCTCACTAAGGTTGGGCAAATGTGTTAACCAAAGAAAAAAATATAACTATTTCTTCATTCAACAATTGTCTACTGTAATCCAGGTACTGTTCTAGGAGCTAGGAATATTGCTAACAAAATAGTATTGCCATTAGATATACCTTCACAATTTGGAAAATAGATAAGATGCATGGGTTCTAGAATATCAAATAAACCCATTCATTTTACAAAATGGTAAGCTCTCTGCTAATCTTCACTCTGTTTGTTGTTTTTGTTTTGGTTTTTTTGTTGTTGTTTGGTACCAGGGATTGAACCCAGGAACATTCGGCCACTGAGCCACATCCCCAGCCCTTTTTAATATTTTATTTAGAAACAGGGACTCACTGAAATTTTAGGGCCTAAGTTGCTGAGGCTGGTTCTGAATTCACGATCCTCCTGTCTCAGCCTCTGGAGTCACTAGGATTACAAGCATGCATCATCACATCTGGCTGGTTCTATCTTTACTACTGCTTTTAAACTAATTTCCAATAGTAGTTTCCCCATCTGTAACTTTACTCCCCCATTCTAAAAGTGAGCCATTCTGTGCACAATGCTGCAGAGCAGGTAGACTCTTTGAAAAATTATCAACACTCTAGCATGGGCAATGTAACTGCCCAGGGCAACCTATGTAAACTTACCAGTTCTCCTGCCTACCCCCAACCCATCAAAATACCATCCTATACTCCCCCCCCCCCAAGGACTGCCCATCTTCCTGTTTGATTTACAAAACTGGGGCTGGAAAAAAAATAAAATGCCAGTTGCTTCAAGTCATCATACTTTGTATATTAACCTCAAAACTGCATTCTAGAAAAACCTCCAATATGCCTACCATTACTGACCCTACCTCTAAAGAGTGATATGCCCTTCACTTAATGTAAAAACCTCTAAGACAGGCACAGTGGCACACACCTGTAATCCCAGCAACTCAGGAGGCTGAGGCAGGAGGATCACAAGTTCAAAATCAGCCTCAGCAACTCAGCAAGACCTTGTCTCAAAATAAAAAGGACTGGAGAGCTGGGTGTGGTGGCACACACCTGTAATTCCAGCAACAGAGAAGGCTGAGGCAGAAGGGTCACAAGTTGGAGGCCAGTCTCAGAACCTTAACGAAGCCCTAAGCAACTTAGCAAGACCCTGTCTCAAGGAGAGAAAAAAGTGGGAGGACAGGGGAGACAGGGATGTGCTCAGTGGTTAAACCACCTCTTGGTCCAATCCCTGGTACCAAAAACAAACAAGACCTCTAATTCCTTATCTGTGGAGATCAGTAAAAGAATGAATTCAGCCTGACCATAGGCTAACTGCAATTCTGGAGGTTCTTTGGGAACATTCCCCATTGTCTTATGCATGACTCAGGTCCTTTCCAGAACCAACAGGCCACAGGAGACTTGGAGAAGATTCAGTAAGTCATTAAGATGACCTAGAGGTGAGAAACTGCTAGTGATTCCAGGTTACAAGAATTTTAGATTTTTAGTTTTGAAAAGCAGAGGCTAGCTGGATATAACCTGAGAGCCTATTTTAGGTATCAACAATCACCTTTTTAATTAAGCAAGTGAGTAATACTTCATCCCAATTCAGAAACTTGAGAAAAAGGAACACACCTCAAAACACTAATCTCTTCAAAGCAGGAAGGTGATTTACATACAAGTTTTTAGTAGAACGTGGTTTTTTTGTTTTGTTTTGTTTTTTTGTATCTAAACCTCTAGATTCTAGGCAGAATAGGCTGAGGTGACCAGGTTTTATCTGATGCTTTCCTGAGAGATGAAGGTAGGGCCAGAAACCCCCAGGCCCAGAGAATTTCTCTAGGTGGCTGTTTCAAAAAAGGGGCGTGTGTGGGCAACTCCAACCTGCAAGTCACAAAAGCTAAAGTGTAGGGAAGCCCACAAAACATAAACTGAGCTTCAAACTTTAGCAAGGACCTCTCTAGAGCCTCCTCGTAGGCCTAAAGTAGGACGATGGCCAGAGGCGAAAGGCAGGGGCTGCCCTTTCCTGAACAGGCCCTCACAACTCAGGTGGCTGAGGATGCCAACCTCGGGCCAAGTAGTCCCAGCTCCAAAAGGGCCAGTGTGAGCTTTCCTGAGCTCGCTGGGACTTCCCCCGCCCGGAACCGCAGCCTGAGTCTCAAGGCTCCAGAGGCCTTCACGTGGCCCAAAGTCCACGCCCACCGGGCCCAGTTGGGGCTGCGGGCTCGCGGGGCCTGCTCTCTTCGTGGGCCCAGGGTCGTCCACGGGTGGTACGCGGATTCGCAGACCGGTACCTCAAGGCCCTGGGGCTCCGCGCAAGCAGCGTGAGACGTAATACCTCACTACGCCGGGGCCGCAGTTCCGAGAGGGTCAATCAGGCCAGCCGGGGCCTGCATGACACAGCACGATCTCGCCCAGGCTCCGACCCGGGCCCAAGACAAGCACAGCCTAGGTGGCGCGCTGGGACGCGGGCCCATAGGCCCTCGTTTGCCCACTTCCTCGCCTTTCCTCTCCCACCTTCCCGGTCTCCACCTCTCAGACGCGCCCCCGGCCAGGCCCCGACCGGGGCCTACCCAGCGCGGCGGATCCCGCGGTGCGCGCCCCCGCAGCTAGCGGGCGGGCGCGCGCACACACTCACTCGGCTCCAGAAGCCATGGCGCGCGCCTCTCCCGGTCGGCAGCTGTGGCGGCCCGCGGGTAACGGCTACAAGAGTGGCAGGCGACCGACTGGGCCGGAGCTAGGCTCTCCCAGGCTGGGGGAGGGATGGCGAGCAGCAGCTACAAACCCACAGGGGGCCTCCCTCTCGCTTCCTCCCAGCGGCACTCGGGCTGCGGGCGGGCGGGCGGGAGACGCTGGCTGATTCGCGAGGAGGCAGCGGCAGCGAAGACTCCAACGACGGCTGCAAACGCTTAGCTGAGACTGAGTCGAGAAAAGCCGAATCATCGGAAGGAAAGCCGCTCTCCCTTCAGCCAATCAGCACCTGCCTTGGGAACTCGCGCCCGCCTCTCCGCGCCTCTCCCCAGCAACCCAGAGACCACAGCCAATCAGAAAATTCGCTTATGGCCTGGGTCCCGCCTCAGGGATACAACACGCCTAGTAACGCCACGTCAATTGGTCGCAACGCTACGCTTCCTCGACGGATTGTGAGTCTAGACCAATCAGCGGAAGAAACTGGGCCAGATCGACTAGTAAAAGGAGAGCCTTTAAGCCTTTGGAGGCGGACTCTCCCACTTGGCTCCAGTTCATTGGCTTCCGAGTTTATCCCCCTGGAAGAACCTGGCACAATGGATTGAACTCTTATATTAGTCTAGTTCTGTTGTAGTGATAATCCACACTAGTTTCTCCACAAACCTGGGGATCCTTTTATTCCATCACCACACAAACACTTCTTGATTCTTTAAAACACTGGCACCAAGCCAGGTGCCATGGCGCATGCCCAGCAATTTGGAAAACTGAGGCACGAGGATGGCAAGTTCAAGACCAGCCTCAGCAACTTAGTGAGGTCCTAAGCAATGTGGACAGTCTCAAAGTAAAAATATAAAAATAAATAAATAAAAAGGGATGGGGATGTGACTCAGTCGTTAAGTGCCCCTGAATTCAATACCAAGCACCAAAAACAAAATACTGGCACCAGCAACCCCTACTCTGGCTCTTTTGACTAGCACCCCAGCTATTCATCCGGGCTACCTCATTGTCATTGCACCCTCCCCAACAGTTAATCCCACGAGTTTTACCGTTTCCAAGTGCTTAAGGGAGGGGTGCTTCCCCTACCATAGAGTATTAATATTGATGCCTGGAGGAGAGCACATTCAGAGTCCAAAGAGGTCAAAAGGCAGCCACAGAACACAAAGCAGAGCCAATATCATCCAAGGCAGCAAGAAAATTACATACTGGAATTAGAAGTCCCTCAGCTACAATAACTGGCGTCAATAGGGTTCTTTGGGGCTTGCTGACTCAAATCACACTTCACCCCCATCCACACAGACAAGTTTGACTGAAATGAGTTCAGTTTCTAGAATTTAGAATTAGGAAGTAGGTGAGAGGTCATTGATAGACTCAGAGATCTGGTTGTCCCTCCTCAGTATTAAGAACCTGCCATTAACTTGAAAAGCCTGTCTAGGTCACCCTCCATACCTAACTCCTGTCACCAAGCACAGGATTTGGGCTTTGGGTCTGGAAAGGACTAAGGCACTGAATGAGGATTAGTATAGTCTTTCCATCATAGCTAGGCCTCCAGTTCATAAGACAGATGATGTTGAGAGGATGGGAGTTCATATACAAGGCCTAGATTCAATCGCTAGCACCCCCCGACACACACACACACACCAACAAATAAAAGGGGGGAAGCACAGGCAGTTAATATTGGGAGAGGGTTCTTTTGACAACCAGCACTCAACTAAGCACCCAAAAGCTTTCCCATCCAAGTATATGTACTAGGCAGACAAGATATATATATATATATATATATATATGCATTTTTATTCAACACAGGAAAAGGGGAAACAGGAAAAACAGATGCTACAAGCAAAGTCAATGACTTGTTGGTAGCAGGGAATACTTCCTCCAGAAGGAAGGAGTATCCCAAACCACACAGGACTGCCACCAACTTCACCAGTACAAGAGTTACATAGGAATGATCAGCTCCAGTCACATCACCCAAGGAGGGTAAAGCAAGGGGAGGTGGGGAGGCCCTCCTCACAGAGATGATTCACTGGGCCCTCAGCTCAGGCTCTTGGAAACATAGCAGCTACAGGTCATGAGGCTCCTGCAGAGATGTCTGAAACTCTTCAAGGAAGGTTTCACAGTCAGGGGAATGGATCCAGCTCAAATAGATTTCTAAGTACAGGGGGAGAGACCTGGAGAGCAAGAAGAGTGATGCATAAGAGTGAAAGATCAAAGGTTAGGCAACTTTCCCTCCCTTTCATTCCTTCATCACCCCCAATACTCCCAAGGACTCCACAACTCCAACTGTCCTTCATCCCCAAGCCAGCAACCCTTACCAGGTAGATTCCTTCTGTGGCAGTTGAGTTTGGGCCTGCAGCCTCCAACAGAAAGCAGCGGCCTCATCCTTCCTATCCAGCCTCCTTAGAGTCTGAAGCAGGTAAAAGGAAGCATCTCTATTACCTGTAGCCCACCCCAGAGTAGAAAGATTAAGAATTTGATATAGGCTTAGGCATCATTTTATAAAAGAAGAAACTGAGAACTAGAGAGACTGTCTTGTTTACACTCACATATGAAACCAAGAGTAGATCACTCACAACCATTCCTCTTCCAGGATTTGTCACCTGCCCAGTAAAAAGGGCTCAGCTGGCCCCATTCCCACATAGCCCACACCAATGCAGTCATGGTCTTTGTGTCTTAAGGACACAGGAAACCAGGGAACTCTTGGGAGCCTTGTATATATACTATGTTTATATGTGCACACTTAGATATATCCTAGTTTTAAACAGCATAATCTCACTCAGCCCTCCTGTCTCAGAAAACCACTCTTACACAAATGTACCAAGTACCTCCTCTGTAGACCTCTCTGTCCCTGAACATCCATGCATAACTGATGTTATGTATAGCATACATACCTGGGCAAACCTGCACACTGAGGAGGAAGTCCTGTAGGGCTTTGGTATCTTGACCATTGGCTGCCCATTCCAGTCCACGACTGATCAGGGCAGCTGCCCGAAGATGTTTCAGTGCCATATCTGACCTACACCCCTGCTCACAGTTGGAAGCTGCCCCTGAGGACCATACCCAAAATTAATAAGTGTCTTCCTAACCACATATCACCAAAACTCCAAGTTCCCCTCTCTCTCTTCTTTTGTTTGGAGCCCCTTCTCTTAAGTCTTCTAGTCTGGTGGACTGGGATACACAGAAAGGAAACCCACTTTCACCTCCACCCCTTCCAGGAGATAAGGAAAACTGAAATTCTAAATCACCTTGTTCTTTGTCCTCAGGTATGGCCCGGAAGAGCAACTCAAGGCACCTGATATGGAACATGGAGCAGGAGCGAAGAAGAATCAAACTCAGAAATTCAGGTGAGTGAGTAAGAACAGAATTCACCAACCCAGGTCCCAATCAGAAAATCTTTCTTCCATACTTCCCCAGGACCCTAGGTGGCTTACTGGGCTCACCGGCTAAATTCACTAATTGCCTCTTTTGGGGCCCTCAGTTGTACCCAGGCCCGGCCCTGAAGCAGGTAAACAGCAGAGACCCAGAGTGGGCAGGATGGCAGTTCCTTGGTTCCTTTTCTTGCATCTTCCCATGGCTGGAGCATCTTGGGAAGCAGAGAAGATGTGCGGGTAAGCAGCTCCTCACATACAGTCAAAGCATCTTGGGCTCGGCCTGCCTGTATCAGTGCTGCTGCCGCCTCCAAGAACACCTCAGGCATGCAAGGTCCTGGGGGGCTGGTTGGTGGGCAGAACTAGAGTGGGAGAAGGATGCATGTCTTGAAGAGATCTCTTCACCAGGCTCTGGTACTATAAAGACCATATAGAGCCTGGTCTTCCATAATGGACAGACATAATAGTAGAGGGAAAAGCAGAACAATCATTCTGCTCTACTCCAAAGGAACCCTTAACCCTCCCATTTCATTATGGAGAACCTACCCGTGGATCTGAGCCATCCAGCAACAGGGCCAGCAGGTCCAAGTAATGCTCTGCAGCATCTTCTGCCCTGGAAAGTCATAACACATAAACACTACCTTAAGCCCTGGCAGGGTCCTCCAAGGGCTTCAGGGAAAACGTTCTCTCCTTGCTAATGAAGGGATGCTTGTAGGCCTTGAGGAATAAGAGAGAAGGTGAGGTCTAGGCCTACAACCCTGGCTCTGCATGGATCTACCTTAGTTACAGAATGGACTGGGGAGATTTCAGTGTTTCAAAGATAGAAGTTATTGTCTGGATGAAAAGCCCTCAGATCAGGTCCAGCAGTAAGGCAGGACACTGGGGAGTAGAGACCTATTGCCTCATTCATCACCCAACTCACAGGAACAAAAAACAGAGTCATGGCTGGGCACAGATGTGCACATCCTATAATCCTAGTGGCTCAGGAAGCTGAGGCAGGAGGACCACAAGTTCAAAGCCAGCCTCAGCAACTTAGCGAGGCCCTAAGCAACTCAGTAAGACCCTATCTCTAAATAAAAATACCAAAAAGAGGTAGGGATGTGGAGCAGTAGTTAAGTGCACCTGGGTTCAATGCTCAGTACCAAAACAAAATAGAAAACCTAGAGTCATACCCTGGGGAAGGCATGAAGTGGGAAGAGGAGCTCAGCTGAGCAAGAGGGAACCTCACCTCCCCATCTGTAGGCATCTGCTTGCTAACAGGTGCTTGGCTTGGCTCTGTGTGCCACAGTAAAGGGGAGAGGCTGGGTCAGGTCGTGGGAGTAGCAATTCTACCTCAATGAGAGGCTGTGGAACTTCAGAGCTATGGGTGGTACTCAAGGCCTAAATAGGAAAGAAAGAAGAAAGTATATCCATAATCTTTGGGAGTCATGCTTCCTTATACTTGTATCTTGTCTAGTTACTTCAACACCAGCACCTCAGCCATTCTCCACCCCATATATTCATCTGACAGTTACTTACCTCAACCAGCAGCTCCAGACTCTCCAGCTCTGCAGCTGTATCCCCCAATTGCCGATATAATCTGGAAGCCTCTAGAAGTGGAAGACCCCAGGGTGATCCCCCTTTCAGGGCTGCAATCAAGTACAGCAAAGCTCTCTGTGGATTTCCCTAGAGGGGTAAAAGGACATAGGCCTCAGCTACCATCAAAAAGAAAATGCTGTTTATAATGCCCAAGGTTTCCCCCATTTCTCCCACCCCTCAGGGCTATCTTTACCATCTTACGAAGACAGGATCCTAATGCTGTATACACCTGTACCAAGAGAGGTCGTGGACACAGACCTGAGGCTGCTTCATGCAGGCTGCTCAATGCCCTTGGTAGGCTCCCTGAAATCAGCTCCTGGAGGCCTGAGGGCAATTAGGGTGTGAGATTAGAGAGGCCCATAAAGTAGAAAATGTGATGGGAAAGTGAGCCCAGAAAAATTCCATGGAACTGAATGGGATATGACAGGGAGAGTATAAGCCCAGAGGATACCTTAAGGGAAAGGATGAGTCAGGTTGCTAACTGACCTTGACGGTAGGCAAATGCTGTCAAAAGGATATCCCTCAAACCCTGGGCATTCTGCAGGGTCAATGGGGCATCTGATTCCTCAGCTGGAGGGTTCCAAGTTTTTAGAAGTAGCAGCAGATCCTTAGAGGCCCCATTCTGGAGAGAAAAGGATCAAGTCTCTAAGTCTAAAACCACTCTCACTTCTCCAGTCTTGGGCTCCTTGAGTTAAAGACTCCTCCTGATTCCTGCTCCCCCAATTCTACGAGAAAGATATCTGAGAAGGAAGGATAAAGGAAAGAATAATAATTTAGGGCAGTGGGGATCTTTTCTAGTATGCCTTCTCATTCAGGATATGCCAATAAGGTCACGGGGCCAGTTTAGTAACCATGTTCGGGTTACTACTGAGAAGACTGAGATTGTGAGTTAGTTTCAGCAAGATCATGCACAAAAGCCCTAACCGTAACCAAATTCATTAAGCTGTTCTTAAAAAATGCCCCAAAGATAATCCCCCACAATGGGACAACCAGAGCAAGGTTACCTCAGAAAACTCAGGTTTTCAGACTACAAATGTAGAAGGCTTTCCAGTAATCATGCACCTGCAGCAGTGGAGAAGGAAGGAGGGATGACACCCTCATCTTCAGATCACTTCCCCCATTACCTGGTTGCCATTCAGAGTCTGCAACAGCAAGGCCAGGTCTTCAAGACGGTCAATGCTCAGCCAAAGGGCAGCCTGCAGGCCAGCCAGGTGGTGCAGGGCACACAGTAGCTTGGGCAGAAGGGAGGAAGCACAGAGGACAGACTCCCACAACTTCCTGATCCCTTGTTCTGGCCTGGGCCCCAACTGCTCCTGGGTCTCTAGCACTATAGAGTACACATACACAAAGCAAAGGTGAGACCACATACTCCATCTCCCCACACTCTCTGTCTTTCCTCTTCTGCAAAAGCCCAAGGATTACAATAATAACACCCCAACCTGGTCTGAGGAGCCCATAGAGAATTACAGAAGGGCACCTCTCTCCATGAAGATGATGTTTTTTGTTGTTTCTCCCAACCTCTTAGACAGACTTAAATCCAGACTAAAGCTGGCAGGGGAATAGAAGGCAAACTGACCCTCACCTCTTTCTAGGCCTCGTTGTATATCCTGGGCCTGGTCTTCAGTGAAACCCTGGGCTAGGCTCACTTTCAGGATAATGAAGTTACAGGTGACAGTCAGCTCCAAGGGGAGAACAGGGACAGCTGCAGGAAGTCCTGAAGCAATAGATGCTGATCTTAGGCTCTCTCACTCACACACTCTGGTTCTCTCACATGAAAATTTTCCCAAATAAGATCCCAATCCAGAGATCATCCCACTCTAAACAAAACAGCTTCAATGAAGAACATGTCCTCTGGTCAGACAGTCCGGAAAGAGCAAATCATTCGGGAAACCACTTCTTCCCATGCTACCGTTGTGTTTGCATGCTTCCGAGCCCATACACAGGCAGGCGCAGAAGAGAAACTCCATGTACAAAGACAATTCCACTTTGGCCCATTCTGTGTACTCCCTGTCCCCTAAGTAATCATCTCAATCCCAGAAATACAGAAGATTCTTGGCTGTGGAGAAGGCAAAACGACCATCCTGGAGAAGACTCTGCTTACCATGCAGAATGTGTAGGAGCTCCCTGAGTCCCTCCAGTGTGTCTTGAACCAACTTGTGGCGCCTCAGAGACACACCAGAGTCCTGAGCCACCTGCCAAAAGTGGGAGGGAACGTTACTGAGAATGAGTCTTTTTTTCACTCCCCTTTCAACAGCATTCTCCAGGCATTTTTTGCTCTTCGAGGGAAGTCAAACTGTGCTCCTTCCCAAAGACTGGGGTAAATTCACTGCAAACGCGCTTTCTGGGATCCTGGTGCAACAAAGTGAGGGTCCCAGTAACCACGTTACCTTGGCCTGTCGAACGAGCCGGTCGTTCTTTTCCTTCCACAGGTCCAGGCAGCTGGCGCGAGCTTCTGGGGAGCCCAGGAAAGACTGGTGGGCCATGGTCGAGGAGGGTGAACCCCTACACCTGCGGAGGGTTTCTGATGGGTGAGGGTAACCCCGCCGTAGCCCCCACCATAGTCGAGAGAGGCTTGCTCACTTCCGCACCCTTTCGGGGTCCCTTCGAGATCCTTACAAAGGCTGTCCACCCTTTCCAGCACAAATCCGGAGATCACGCGTCCCGCGGCTCCCACCCTCGCCTCTGGTTGGCCCGCCCAGCAAAACTCTCTGCCGTGATTGGTCCTCTTCAAGAGTTGTTTCCGCGGGAAACTTGGGTAAGAAAAGTGTCCCGACCGAACAGAACAGTCAGAAGCGGTGTGGCATGTCTGAGCTGGGAAGTCGCGTGGCAGGCCCTTCCACCTGCTAGCCCTCGCGGGGCCCACCGCCTTCACAAACGGTGGCAGCAAGCGTTCTCAGAACTAGTCTGTAACTCAGCCTTTCCACGCAGCCACACCCCCAGGCCTGCCCGGATTTCCCCTCTCCGGCGTGTTGGCCCGCGCAGTGTATGCTGGGGTACGTAGTACGACGGGGAAAGCCACGCCCTCCGTAATAGTCCCTTAACTGGGCAAAAACAGTACAAAATTCAACCCTCCATGTGTAAAATCAACTCAAAATGGGTCACAAATACAAGAACCAAAAATCCAAAACTTCTGAAAGAAAACATAAGATAATCCGTTTGTGGTCTTGAATTTGACAACTCAAATATATTTTTTTTTAATATTTATTTTTTAGGGGCTGGGGATGTGGCTCAAGGGGTAGCGCGCTCGCCTGGCATGCGTGCGGCCCGGTCCTCAGCACCACATACAAACAAAGATGTTGTGTCCGCCGAAAACTAAAAAATATCAAAATTCTCTCTCTTAAAAAAAATATTTATTTTTTAGTTGTAGTTGGACACAATACTTTCATTTTATTTACTTATTTTTATGTGGTGCTGAGGATCGAACCCAGGGCTAGACGAGCACTCTACCGCTGAGCCACAACCCCAACCCCCCCAAATATATTCTTAAATACCATAAACGTATTCTTAAGTACATTACAAACATGAACATTCTTAAGTACGAAAGCATGACCAACCACAACAAAAAAAATGACTTCACTAAAACAAAAACCACTTAGTGCAGCAGCGCAGGCCTCAAATCCCAGCTCTTCTGGAGGCTGAGAAAGGAGAACCCAAGTTCAAGGCCAGTGAGGCCCTGCCTCAAAAAATAAAATAAAAAGGGATGGGGATGGAGCTCAGAGGTAGAGTGGCCCTGGGTTCAATCCCCAGTACGAGAAAGAAAGGGAGCCAGGGAAGGTTAGGGAATTTGGGTAGATAACGGAAATATTCTAAAACTAAATTGTTGCACGTGGTAATAATTTTTTATATATAACATCAAAATCTCAAGCAAAAAAAGAATAGGATTTGGATTTTTTTCAAATTTAAAAATGTTTATGCCTCAAAGGATATTAAGAAAATGAAGGCAGTGCAGTCACACACACTTGTAGTCCCAGCTGATCCAGAGGCTGAGGTGGATTTACTTTAGCCCAGGAATCAAGACCCCATCTCAATTGACAACAAAGGGCTGGAAATGTAGCTTAGTGATAGAGTGCTTGCCTGGCATATGTGAAGCTCTGGGTTCAATACTCAGCACCAAAAAAAAAAGAGACAAAGAAAGAAAATGAAGAGAAAATTGTTGGGTCTTCCTCCAGTTTCCAGGTTTTCCTCTCCCTAAGGCAAACCAATCTTTCTCTGCCTTTTACCAAGAAATTCTCTGACTTACCTCTTCTGAAAATAGGTCATAAGACCCATCTTATTCCAGAGGGGTCCTTTCCCATACTCTGGAGGAAGAAATACTGCACCTTGCTAGGCTTCCCCATCCAGTCTATTAGCAATAATGCCTATGCAATAAACACCAAAAAGGTCAGGCTGGAAAACTTCCTTATATCTGAACACATGGTGGTTCCTGGAGGTAGTATATCTAGATAGGAGGTTGGAGCTTTGCACCCTTTTCCACCATATGTACATCTTCTTCTATATCCTTAATAATAAACTGGTGTTATGGTTTGGATCCACAATAGCTTTTAAAGGTTCATGTGTTGAAGGTTTGGTCCCTAGTACAGCAATGTTGGGGGGGGGTGTGGACTATTAACAGGTGGGGGCCTAGTGGGAGGTTGGGATTGGGGTGACTGTGGGACTCCAGTCTCTTTCCTGGGGGGGGGTTGCAGACACGCACTTTGGGAAGTGATTGGATCAGGAGGGCCATAAACTCATCACACATGCTTGCCTAGCATGTGTGAGGTTGATCCAATTCTCAGCACCACATATACATAAATAAAATAAAGGCATTGTGTCCAATTACACCTAAAATTTTTTTTTTAAAAAAGGGTATTGTGTCCACCTACAACTAAAAAAATATTTTTAAAAAATTGATTAAGGGGCTGGAGCTGTGGCTCAGTGGTAAACCGCTTGCCTCGCACATGTGAGGCCCTGGGTTCAATCCCCAGCACCACTTAAAAACAAATAAATAAAAATAAAGATATTGTGTCCATCTACAACTAAAAATAAATAAATAAATAAATAAATAGGTTAATCTACTGATACTCACAAGTGAATGGATTAATGGTAGGTAGTGAAAACTATAGGAGGGAGGACCTAATTGAAAGGAGTAGGACACTTTGGGGACATGCCCTTGGTGGCTATCTTTTGTCCCTGCTCCTCACCCCTCTCTCTCTCTCTCCACTCTACTCTCCCCCCACTCTCTGCTTTCAGGTCCCCATGAGGTGGGCATTGCTTCTCCACCACACTCTCTCTACATACTCAGGCCCATAAGAATGAAGCAAGTTGACCATGAACTGAAACCATGACCCAAAATAAATCTTTCCTTTTTTTTCCCCCTCAGGTACAAAATAGGACAAAAAGTCGACACCACTGATAAACATAAGTAAATGTTTCCTTGAGTTTTGTGAGCCTCTCAAGCAAATTAATCAACCCAGGAGGGGGTTGTGGAAACCCAACCTATACTGAGAAAAATCCCAATTTTTTTCAATCAGAAGCACAGGTGAAACAACCTGGGGCTTGCAATTTACTTTTGAAGTGGTGAGGGAAGTGGAAGAAGTATTGGGAACTGAATCTTCATTCTGAGGGAACTAATCTTATTTGCTTATTGATAGTGTCAAAACTGAATTGAAGTAGAGGCTTCTCATCTGGTGTCCACTGCAGAAGTGCTTGCTTGTTGGAAGGAAGAAATACCCATGCCTTGTGAAGTCACAAAAGTCTTCTGTGTTGGTTGTGGTTAGAGAAAAGGGGAAGTCAATATTTTGTTTTTTACTGACTTTTACAACAACCCATAGAATGGAGAAAATATTTGCAAATCACAGAGATCTGGCAAAGAACTGGTATCTAAAGTATATAGAGAATGCTTACAATACAATAATTTAAAAAAGACAAATAACCCAATTTAAAAATAGGCAAAGGATCTGAATGGATAATTTTCCAATGAGTACAAGGAAAGATGTTCAACATCACAGACCTTTAAAGAAATGCAAACCCAAAACACAATATTATTTCACATACAGTAAAATGATTGGATCAAAAATAGATAATAACAAGGGTTGACATCACTGTGGAGAAATCAGAACTCATACACACTGCTGGAAGGAATATAAAATGGTATAGCAACTTTGGAAAACAGAATGGCAGTTCTTTAAAAGATCAGAATTACCAAATGGCCCAGTATTTCTACAATATACCATTGGATATATACTCAAGAGAAATTGAAACATATGCCCAAACAAAAACATACATGAATCCAGGGGTGGTAGCACACACCTTTAATCTCAGAGGCTGAGGCAGGAGGATCAAGAGATCAAAGCTAGCCTAGCAAAAGTAAGGCACTAAGCAACTCAGTGAGACCTTGTATCTAAATAAAATATAAAATATGGCTGGGGATGTGGCTCAGTGGTTGAGTGCCCCTGAGTTCAATCCCCAGTACCAAAAAAAAAAAAAAAAGGGAGCCAGGCATGTTTACAGGCACACGCCTGTAATTCCATCAGTTTAGGAGGCCAAGGCAGGAGGATAACTAGTTCAAAGTCAGCCTCAGCAATTTAGTGAAGCCCTAAGTAACTCAGTGAGACTTTTGTCTCAAAATAAAAATAAAAAAGGACAGGGATGTGGTTCAGTGGTTGAGTGACCCAGGTACATAAAACAGAAAACAAAAGCCTTATACATGAATGTTCATAGAAGCCTTATTTACAATAACTAAAGGTGAAAATCCAAATGTTCATCAACATATGAAGAAGTAAAATGTGGTCTATCCATGCAATGGAATTACTTGGTTATAAAAAGGAATGAAGTACCAATATATAATGCCATGTGGATGAACTTTGAAAATATTAAGCCAAATGAAAGACAGACCTCAAATGTGGTAGTGCAGGCCTATAATCCCAGCAACTCAGGAGGCTGAGGGAGAAGAGTCACAAGTTCAGTTCGAGGCCAGCCTCAGCAACTTAGTAGTCCTAAGCAACTAAGTGAGAAGCTGTCTCAAAATAAAAAAAATTTAAAAAGGGTAATGGTAAAGTGTCTTCAGGTTCAATCTCCAGTACAACAAAAAAAACAAAAACAAAAACAAAAAAGAGGAGAAAGAAGTAGGAGGAGGAGCAAAGAAGCAAAGAAGTCAGACAGAAAAGGGCACATACTGAATGATCCCATTTATACAAAATATCCATAATAGGTAAATATGAAACATAAAGCAGATTCCTGAGGCCAGGGATTTGGGGATAAGAAGGAAAGTGATTGTTTAATGGGTACAGGGTTTCTTTTTAGGGTAATGAAAATTCTAGAATTGATAGTGCTGATGATTGCACATTATGAATGTACTTTTTAAAATGGCTAAAATATGGTAGGCTTGGTAACACCGCTTGTAATCCCAGGAACTCTGGAGGCTGAGGCAGGAAGATCGGAAGTTCCAAGCCAGCCTCAGCAATTCAGCAAGGACTTAAGCAACTTAGTGAGACCCTGACTCAAAAAATAAAAATGGCAGGGGATGTAACTCAGTGGTAAGGTGCACCTGGGTTCAATCCCCAGAAACCCCCTGCCAAACAAAAGGTTAAAACGTTGGATTTTATCTGAACTTAAAAAGAAAAAGAATCGAAAAGCTGAGGCCAAGTTCAAAGCCAGCCTTAGCAACTTGGTAAGGCCCTAAGCAACTTAGTGAAACCCTGTCTCAAAATAAAAAATAAGGGTTGGGGTTGTAGCTCAGTGGTAGAGTGTCTGCCTAGCATGTATGAGGCACTGGGTTCAATCCTCAGCACCACATAAAAATAATATAAAGGTATTGTGTTCATCTATAACTAAAAAAGAATATTTTAAAAATAATAATAATAAAAAAGGCTAGGGATGTGCCTCAGATTCAATCCATGGTACCAAAAAAGAAGAGAAAAAAAACAACATATACTGATATATAAACCTTGGAAACATGATGAAGAGGTCAATCACAAAAGACCACAGATTATATGATCTCATTTCTTTCTTCTTCTTCTCATTTTTTTTGCTGTACTGGAGATTGAACCCAAGGGCGCTCTACTATTGAACTACACCCCTATCCCTTTTTATTTTTAATTTTGAGACAGGGTCTTGCTCAGTCTCCCAGTTTGTCCTCAAATGTGGGTTCCTCTAGCCTCAGGTTTCCAAGTAGCTGGCATTAAAGGCATGTGCCATCATGCTTGGCAAGAAAGAAATTCCAGTAGTATATTTAATGGTAATCAATTTTCTAACACATCTTTCTCTAAAAGAATCTTA